TTTTTTTTTTTTTTGCCTAAATTTCTATTTGCTTAGTAGATGATCACCTCATTTAATCAATTGTACAATTAGAAAAGATCATATGTTCTCATAGGTTCTTTAAAATCTGAAAATCGACAAAAATTGCTCATTGTCGATGATGTGAAATATCTACAGTAGACAATTTAGAGTCCATTATGTCCATATACTCGAATTATTTTGATTTTGTTTGACAATTATAACTGATCTTTTGCTACATCATTTACAATTAGAAGCCAAATTAATTACTAGTTTTTTTTTTTGGTGATTAGATATGGAGATGTCTTTAGAACACACATTCTCGGCAAGGCGATCATTGTCTCGACTGACCCTGAAGTCAACAAAATGATTTTGCATAATCATGGGAATATTTTCATCCCAAGCTATCCTAAAACTATCACCAAACTTCTTGGAAAATCCTCAATACTGCAAATAAACGGGCCTTTGCACAAGCGAGTGCATTCCCTTATAGGCGTTTTTCTCAAGTCGCCCGAGCTCAAGGCCCGAATCACAAGAGATATCGAGAAAACCGTTAAGCTTTCCCTATCTAATTGGTCGACCGAAAAAAGTTGCCAAGTTCACGTTCAAGACGAAACTAAAATGGTAAAGTTTATTTTTAATTTTTTTTTTTAATGAATATTCACGCCTTAGCATGTGTGAGCACGTGAGGTTTACATAATTAGTTATAATTGATGTTATTTTTCTTAATGTTTTATAATAATGTGGCAGATTACATTTGAGATTCTTGTACGAGTGCTAATGAGCATTGGTTGTGGTGAAGAAATGGAGTTGCTGAAAAAAGAATTTGGCGAATTTATCAAAGGACTAATTTGTGTGCCCATTAAGTTCCCTGGGACAAGGCTGTACAAGTCTTTGAAGGTGTAAATTCTTGTATATCACTTAATACATGTGTCTATAAGTATAATCAAAACAAATTGGAATAATTTTTGGTGTTTGTAACTTTAGTTCTCCAATTAAGTTAAAATATGAAAGATTGCACATTATTTTTTTTACTCACAATGTATATGTAGCAAGATTTTTTTCACAATCTCAAATGTGAACTTATCTTTTTCAATTTCGTTATACTATGTCTTTTTTTTTTTCGACAGGCAAAGAAGAAATTACTGAAAATGGTGAACAAAATTGTAGAGGAGAGGAAAGCAGCTATGAACAAAAATAACGAAAAATCGCAGCCAAATGATGCGATTGATGTGTTATTATGTAACTTTAATGAATTATCCGACGAGATTCAGCATCGACTCCCGTTGGATTTTATTAGTGGAAATATAGTTGAAATGATGATTCCAGGTGAGGAGACTGTGCCAACTGCCATGACCTTGGCAGTTAAATTTCTCGTCGATAACCCTGCGGCCTTAGCCCACTTAGTGGTACGTATATCTCGTTTTTTTTTTTTTTTTTAATTTGTTTATTTATATAGGGAGAATAATTAATAATTGTTTGTGAATCTCAAGGCTTGATGGTAATCATGGCTAATTTGCTTAATTATTATAGTGTATGGTGGAACTGGGATGACATTAAAAAAAATTATTTCAATTTTTTTTATACATATGTGACAATTATATTTACATGTGCTTGCACATTGCAAATAACAATATAACATTATGTTATACTATATGTTGTGGACTTATATCCCTATGAACTTTCTTGCAAAATGCACATGGTGCCAACATAGAAAAAGGTTATTTTCACTTAATGCCATTCAAACTCTCTGTTTATTCGATTTTAAAATCAATTTTATAAGAATATCTACTTATCCCAATTGTTTAGTTAGAATTAGCAATGTCCTAAGTACATAAAAGTAAGTTGTCCCTGTTCATGATGCCTGGCATCTTTAATACAGAATATACCGATGATATCATTATTACATTTAGTGGGTCAACAAAAGTCAACCTCAATCCATAATTGTGGAACTCTCGTGTCTTGAAAGTCATTTCATATTTTTTTTTTTTTTTTTTTTTTTTTTGCAAATGTCATTTCATATTTTTAGTTGTTAACATAATGCGTTGAGTTCACGTGGAAGATACCAATATGTGTTGCCCGCATGTTTTATGAATAATGGAAACAGTGCAAATGAAGTCTACATGAAAGGAATACAAAAATAAAAAAGGAAGATTATTAAACTATGAAGTTCGACTTGTGAATTTGATGCATAAGATATATGACTTCCATTGGTGCTTTACTTGTTTTTATTTTTTTCATATTAGTTCTTTATCGAATACACATTTAGCATTTCGGAACATTTTCGTGTTGTAGTTTTTGTGTAGAGGATAAAGTTGTAAAACCGTAACTTTATTGCGAAATAATATTCTGTACATGTAGTAGAAAAACAGATAAAAAATGAATAATTGTGTCGCAAAAATCATGGTTCTCGCCTTCAAGGTAGCCTTGAAATGTTTTTTTTTTTTTTTAAATAAATATCCTACAAATTGTTGTTCTTTGATAATTCGTATTATTTGCTTTCGTAAAGAGTTTCATTATTATTCTAATATGTAGGCTACACCTGCTAGTATTTCCAAAAGAAGAAGAAAAGAAGTTATCAAATCACCAGGTAATCCAGTGGATGACACAATTTACTTTCACAGAACAAAACTAACGACACTGTTCAAAATCAATAAAGACTTAACTTGTAATGCCCCGTTTATTTGTGGATTATTTGGGATTTATTTTTATTATTTTTATTATTTTTATTTGCTATTATTATTGTTAATTGGTAATTATATTTATATTTTACTTTATTGAATGCCAATATAATTATTTATTTGTCAAATGTGATTAAATGCTAATTGTGATTTGTCTAATTGTTTAGATTGATTTTTGTGATTTATTAAATTATTAATGTGAATAAATGTGTATGTAAAATATATATGTTTATTTTTTCGGTTTATTTTTATCGCGCGTTTGCCTTCGGAATCGAGCCCGATAATTTTGTTGTAATCGAATCGGGCCTGAATATATCTGTTTAAAATTTTATTTGAGCCCGTGAGCTGTTTTGTCGTCCCAACCGGCCCAAAAATCCTATTGGCCCAAGTTTCTCGGGCCCGGCCCGACAGATTTTCCCATCTCCTTTTTTTT